TATGACAATAACCTCAGCATTATTGAACACAAATAAATACAGATCTTGTTTCTTTTTTATGCCATTTTGTACCTTTGTCTATAAACGTTTTAAAAGTAGGAATAAATTACATAAATAATGGTCTGGAATGCATTCAAAAGAACCAAATCAAAGTAACTTTGACCTTCAACTTACAAAAAAAATGCATTGGTTCTTAAAAACTTTGCTTTAATTTTGTTTCTCTGTTGCTACTCTAGTTACTGACCTCAAAGGCCTCGCCTATTACAGAGGGTGTTTCGAATTGTAGGGAAAAACAGCCATAGGGAATATTTTCCATTCACTGATATCAAAGGTCAAAATAAAGATCCCAGTGACTTGCTTTTTGTACAGTAATGCACTTCTGTCATTTCACGATATATCTGCATACTCCAGGAGATTTGATATAGTTAAGGTAAGCTTTGAAAAAACATTTTTTAATTATTTACGTTGGAAGTCAAAGCATTTATCACAGTGACCTCATTTGGTATTCTGCAATCCGCAATCATAAGTCACAACTGCATACTAACTCAAATTGGTTAGTCCTGGTGATATATACAATGTAGTACACATGTCCTTGACAATGTGTTTAAAAGGCAAGGTCAAAGGATAGGACACAGTGACCTACTTCTCACACTCTGCACCCAGCCATCCCAAGATGTACTTGTATACCAAATCTGGTTTCTCCATATGTAAAATAGTATAGAAGATATGCCCTAGACACACTTTTTTAAAGGTTAAGATCAAAGGTCAAACCATATATCACAGTGACCTATTTCGTGTACTCTACACTCCGCCATCCAAAGACAAACTTGAATGCCAAATCTGCACGGTTACTCAAGGTGAAAAAGTATAGAAGATATATGCCACGGACAAACTCTTCACATGGACAGACAGAAGTACAGAGTGCAAACATATAGTCCCCCCTCCCTGTGAACTGGTGATGGATTAATAAAGAGCATAGATGTGGCAGACCTACTGGTATAACTGCCAATTATGTTGCAGATGAACTTATCATAGCTATAGGGTGCTACAGCATTCAAATATTTTCAATGCAGATCAATATTACTCTTTTCAAAGACTTGAAAGAAAATAAACTATATGATTATAAAAGTTACATGTATCTGTCAAACAAATAGAAGTAACTTACAGTATAATCAAATGAACAAGTTTGTTTGATGTAATGTAGCATATAACAATATATACAATACATACATATCTGTGCAAGAGATTTTCACCTGTGAACACTCCATATGTACTAACAGGTACACAATTGAGAGGCTTATGTACCGTAGATATAGAGTTTGGACTTTTAAATTGACAGATATTGAAAATGAACCAGGGGTTGCCCCAGAGTAGGAAATATGATTTTGTAAAAGGATAAGTCAATGGTTCTTAACTTGCACCATCAGATTTAACCGTTAAAACCCCATCACAGTATGACTTATGTTCCGTGTTCCCTGTTGACATGCACTATTATCTAGTATCAAATAAAAAGATTGACATATGTAAGGGTAAATGATCGAGGAATCAAAATTATTCCTGTTGCTAGTCATGAAACCTAGATAGTCTGAAGATTTTCCTGGTCATGGACATAGAAGTTACCTCCCTTCTGTCAGATATGGACATAGAAGTTACCTCCCTTCTGTCAGATGAGGTGTTTAATTCTTGATGCATAAATTGTAAGGAAATCTAAAACTATGTTTAGAAATATGTTGAAGGAAGCCTTACTTATCATTTAACGGTTGATGATGACAGTTAGACAGAGCACAAATCATTTATACCATGGCATGCCCTGAGGGCCATCACTGTCAATGTCAATGTGATTGAAGTGACAATAATACTGCTCCTGTTTAGTAAGGCTCAAAATATTAGCCCTCATTTCATCAAGAATACAAAATAAAAACAAGACATCCAGTTGCTGTGGTGTTAAAATAATTTTATGTATATAGTAAAGAGACATAATTAATAAATGGATCAATGTATAAAAAATAAGGTTTATATAATAAACCGTTTATTTGGTATTCTGCTTTATAAATACTAATAAATAGTGATTCTGAGAGAGGGCTACATCCAGCAGTTATTAGGTCAAGAGGTTTGAGTAACAGCCTGTACTAAAAAGTTTGGAAATATGTAATATAAAAGTTTATACACAAACCATCTGCGTCTTAAACATAAGGCAAACCTAAATGTTAGCAAGTCATGAAACCTTTCACAATTAATTACATATGTACATAGTGTTGCTTTTGAGATTTTAAGGGTATCGTGAATATTCTTGTTAATTCAAGATTAAAGCTTTTACAGTCACAATAATATATGACTAAACTCTACCGTTTAGATAATGAAGTTTTAATATCTAGATTAGGACTGGAGAAAAGTTAAGATAAATACAATCACTTTATACAACAAAATCTTCATTCCTGACTTTTAATGTTCTTCAGACAAAATTTGCAATCATCACAATGTCAACACCAACACTTTTGCTTTAATTCAATGTGGTCCTGCAGCTAGTGGTCACTTGAGTTCTAACATGTACATGTGAAAGCTCTCATGATACTCTATACATGTATTTATACTGCTGTATGCAACAATGCTCTCGTGTTATGTAATCCAAGTCAAAATATAGCTGCACTATGAAGCTACAGCACTAATGAATACCTTTTCATATATCCTGCTGTATGAAAAAGCAGTATTTCAGTGATCACTTGACAGGACTAGCCAGTATATCCTTTAACACATTTGGAGGTATGTGTGATTACACCGATATACTTTTTTTAAGTTGATCGTTCCGCAAAGTAGTCCTTTTATTTCATGTTGTTTTTGAAAGCATTATGGTGTGACAAAGTGCCTCTACCACATACAAACAAAAAACAAAAAGTCCCACCCCTTAATTTTTCTCTGAACTTGTACATTGTATTGCCAGGTGATATCTGCCCAGTTAAGTCCTTCTGTAATGCCTGCTGATATTCAACTATAGCTTCTGCCCAGATCCTGCTGTACAGCTCATTAAAAATTTTGATTGACTGAAAAGCTGCTGAATACCAGCTTAACCTGCTGTAGGTACTAACAAACTACTAGTAATCAACTGTTTTATTAGATTAAGGGTACAGCAGTAATCTACAGGGTACAGCAGTGATCTTCATGGTACAGCAGTGATCTACAGGGTACAGCAGTCACCTACAGGGTACAGCAGTCACCTACAGGGTACAGCAGTAACCTACAGGATACAGCAGTAACCTACAGGGTACAGCAGTGATCTACAGTGTACAGCAGTGATCTACAGTGTACAGCAGTAACCTACAGGGTACAGCAGTCACCTACAGGGTACAGCAGTCACCTACAGGGTACAGCAGTGATCTACAGGGTACAGCAGTGATCTACAGGGTACAGCAGTAACCCACAAGGTACAGCAGTCACCTACAGGGTACAGCAGTGATCTACAGGGTACAGCAGTGATCTATAGGGTACAGCAGTAACCTACAGGGTACAGCAGTGGTCTACAGGGTACAGCAGTAACCTACAGGATACAGCAGTGATCTACAGGGTACAGCAGTGATCTACAGTGTACAGCAGTGATCTACAGGGTACAGCAGTAATCTACAGAGTACAGCAGTAACCTACAGGGTACAGCAGTGATCTACAGGGTACAGCAGTGATTCAGTGGTGCTGATCGAATGCATTCTGAAATCCTTGGGAAAATTCCACTGAAATCCTACTGATATCATACTGAATTCCTGCTATATTTTGACTTGGATACATTTGTATGTCTTCATTTCGTGAGGTCAATAATGCTAATATATGTTGCATATAATGTATACAGGAGTTTACCAACCAACATTACTGCCCCACAGTTAAATAGAACAGGTGAATGATACCAACAATAAAATAAAATAAATAAGAAATTGTTCTGAAATAACTTAAAAATGTACAAAGCTGCATTGTTATATCATAGATCATAGTAGACAATATTTGTATGTACATGCATGTCAGAGTGGTAAACCTCCTACAGTATTTGCCCAAACCAACTCTGCTTGAGGTATAATTCTCCTACAGTTCAGTATAACACTGGGCAAGTTAAGATATGGTCCCAGGTTCAACACCTAGCAGGGCACTAGGAAAATAAGTGACCTCGGTTTGTAACAAACTTAAAGATAAGGTGTAACTGAAATAAAGCAATCAGGACACATAATAGGATGATATAACTCTCATTAGAACACTTTTAAAGGTGTATGTGTACAGACTTTAGATAAAAAATGGAGATATCTTTGGTAGACATGATATGACAAAATCAATACCTGTATATAAGTATATAAAAAGCCATCAGGCACTTCAAAGGATTTCACTGATTTATTGCACTAGAAAATGTTGAAGAAAATCAAGAAAATAATTTTATAACTTAAGTAAAGGTTAAGGTAATAGGATTGTGTCGCCATTCCTCAGTAGAATTTCTTCAAATTTTGTAGTTATATTGCTTTAAAGTAAAAAATAAATTCTGCCACAAAAAAAATATAGGTTGTCAGAATTTTAAGGATTTTAAATGGAAATTTATGTAAAAAGGAGCGAATTTTGAAAAAAATATGAAAGACACAATATTTTTACAAAATAATGTCAATAAAAATGATACTGACATATATTAGTATTGCATTAATGTATATCAATTTAATAAATGCTGAAATTGTGTAAAATTAATTCTCTATACACAATTTAAAAATTGACATTTTATAATAAAACCATATACACATAGTAATTGCAGGTAAGAGTTATCGTTCTTGAAAAACTTCACAGTAGTGAAATAGGTAGCCGGTTTCCTGAAGTACAGAAAAATGGACACAAGTGACTCATTGATAAAAAATCCCTGAATTAATGCCTGGATTGCTTTGAAATACTTTAATATTGAGAGAACACACTGTTCTGTCAATAATAAACATGCAATATTTATCAGTTTAATATTAAACATTAGAATTTGCGGAAATTGTGATGCTGTCTCCCTACATTGATTATTCAACTAGGGATGTACTTCCTGTTTCCGTTTATCAATACACTCCAATGACCTTAAAACAACATCAATTTTAATCACGAAGAAGAGTTCAAATCAGTTTTTTACCTGGAGTAGTCTCCCTTTTATATAAAAGATAAAATAACTAAAGGAGTTTTTTCTGGCTGAGAGTAACTGCCCCTGTCATGTTCTTGTTTAGTTCCTGTATGTCAACATTGGTAAAGTGTAGACTTTGACACGAGAAGGTCCTAGACTTGACACCAGCAGTTTTCCTGATTTATTTTTTATTCTAATTTCAAACATTACAGTTTGAACAGATATAAATCTGTCAAATGTATGGCAACATGGGATTTTTATGGAATTGTTCTTTTGAAAAAATTCCTTAAACATTTCACAGCAGTAACAATAATGGTAAAAATGTATCTTAACTGGATGGCATCCTTTACCTGAAGTCATTATTCTTGTGGAAATCAACACAATGAATATCAAATCAAGCGCAACTGATAAAATAATTTTAAAAGATATAAATAGATACACTCGTTATCTGCCGCTATTTAAAAAAAAACAAAAAAAAAACACACTCTGATTGTCTCATATGGGATTTCTACTTCTATCTCAATCACAATCTTCAGTTAAATACATAGATACATGTATGACCTCTCTATTGTGTATGTGAAACCTTTGTGTTTCACCCATAATTCTCAAAGTGAACCCAGCCTTTTTTCTTAACACTTACCGGTAGTCCTGTATACAATTCATATCACAAAACTTAATTAAACACATAGATTACTTTTCAGATTATGCAATGAATTGGCCCCTAAATATTTGGAACATATTAGGATGAAGTATAAACTAGTGGTCCTTGCACTAGCTATGTTCCTACTTTAGATATTACTAGTACTCATATTCATGAAACCATTCTCATACTCAAGCACAGATTTTGTGCTCAAAATAACTTCCTTGTAACTCACCTAAATGATGCAACACAATCAAAAAGTCAAAATGTTAACATTGAAAACAGATTTCCAAAATTCTTCAAAACCATGGAGAAAATGTAATGTTTGATCAAATTAACACTAGAGTAAGAAATTAGACTTGAGCAACAGAATCTGAGATTGAGCACGAGGGAATCTGATTTTCAACATGAGAACATTTTCATGAATATGGCCCCTGATTATTTTAACAAATGGCTTCACCTCAAAAATATAGCAAGACTAAATAGCGTAACTACTTTTGTGACAAAAAATGATACATATTGCACATAAATTACCCAAAAAGATAAGCTGGAATTTTATGGCAAGATATCTGTTTTGGATGCTGAACTTTACAGTTACTGTTTAATTAAAAACTATTAAGTCAAACTACTATTGATAAAATCAAACAAATCTGATCGGAGGTCTGACTTGCGACTACAGTCACTGGTACCACTGGTCCTGACACTATCATTGTCACTGTAACCGTTACTGAGACGCACATCTACAGTCCCATCACTGCCATCTACAGTCCCATCATGGCCATCTACAGTCCCATCACTGCCATCTACAGTCCCATCATGGCCATCTACAGTCCCATCACTGCCATCTACAGTCCCATCACTGCCATCTACAGTCCTATCATTGCCATCTACAGTCCCATCATTGCCGTCCTCACTCCCCAGATCATCTGTACCATCAGTGACATCAGCGTCAAAACCAGGTTTTATATCACTCCCCACCCCAGGTGAGGGGGCTCCATTAGGAATGAACTGGTCCTCTGAGCTATGATCAAACTTCTGGTCAATCTCCAGGGTGCCATTTAGGCATAGAGTGTGGGATTTTATTGCAGAGTCTGGACGCTTTTGCAGTCCGTTTGAATTCCAATTTTGGTATTGTGGAGTTCTGGAATCTCTAACATCTGTATCCTCAATATCTGAACTCCCTTGGGATTCAACATTATTTACTTTAGGCTGCGGATCAGTATAATTAGAGGGGTTAGATGAGCTGTTGCTTTTGATGTCCGAAGTTTCCCTAATTATAGGAATATCACTGTTATTAGATACTGGCTGAACCTTGTCCTTATCAGCTCCACCATCTTTCATTTCACTGCTAACACATGCCTGTTCTACGTCACTGGCAGTGTCCGAACTATCCTGTTCCCTTTGATCCGATATGGGAGTTTGCTGGGGGCCATTTTGTACATCAACAGAGTTAGCCTGTTTTGTGAGGTGTTGTGTCTGGTGCTCTGTGTTGCTATTGTCTTTGACATCTGTTTCTGGACACAATTCATCCTGTTCAACTAGATGTTCTTCACTCTTTGCTGTGTTACCTGAAATCCGTGATATTTGTAACTCAATCTCACAGGTGATCCCAGAATTAGTCGTCTCACCATGTTCTTCTTTCTTTGAACTCGCTTCATCTTCCACAGATATAGAAATATGCTTTCCAATCACTTCTTTACTATTTCCCATGACTCTCTCGGAGTTAACTCCCTTGGCTGTCTTATCTGGTCCCACTACCACGTACCTATCATGGTAGCTGTTGAACCCATCCTTTTTTGAACTGTTTGACAATATATAAAGACAATTAAAGCAATATCATCTGTTTTGTCCTTCTTTGATATATTAATGCACTGACCTTTCAAGAGTTAAAATTACGATACTCTTCAACAACATTCATTTATAATCAATATATCATAATTTCAGTCATTTTAATATTTATTTCACCTTTAAAATTTCCAAATGGATTAATCACAAGTTCTTCATCATATGTTTTATAAACCAAATATTTTTTTACACAAACTTTTTTGTTACCTTGTTTTTGAAGATTTAACGTACTTAATGATTCATCGAAAATAAAACTTCTATAAACGAACATGTGATTCATTTAAAAAGTGTAAAATTTGTTATAGATATCAGTGACAAAGATTTAGTCATGCTGTCAGCAGACGTGCATCCGACCACAAAACTCTCAGGCCTGCATGCCATAGCCATAGATACACTATGATATATATGTGTGGTATTTATATTTTTAAAGTTAGAAGGATTGAATCTATAAACCCTTCTCCGATTTTCATGTACACAAAACATTTTTCATTTGCCAGGTATCTTTTGGCATTCTGCTTTCCTCTTTAATCTCAATCCCAGTTTATTTTCAGACTCTGGGTCAGACTAACTGATGACGCCTGTACATGTATTGGAATCTTCGTGTTAGATCTTTGAAGTGACTTTTCCTGCTTTAAAATTTTATTTGAATTACATTTTTAAAAGCTTTTTCAGTTTTTGTTTCAATGGAATTTTTAGCCACACATAAAAACCAGTATGATAAACCTATTTCATAGATGTATTTCTTGGTGAGATAAGATTGAGAAAGATAGGGAAATTCCCTTAGTAAATAGCAGAGGAAATGTATAAACAGTCTAGGACAGATAAAGCTGACACCTGTCTTGTGTGTATTCCCAGCACACCCACACATCATCAATTCATAAACATCCCTTGTGCTATCATACTTCCAAAACATTCTGATTTTACTGCACTGTTATACCTATACACCTGTAGGTATTTCTGAAGGTCAAAAACAAGGAGGAAACTTCAAATATTTACATTACATGTAATTTTTTGTTCAAAGTGAGAAAGGAAAGAATCCTGACATAAATATTGCAATCCTTGTATCCTTGAAGACGATTTCCTGCATCTACATAGCCATTATACAAATAATCTCTGCATATGATAATAACACATGATAAATCTAGGATACACTGATGTCGAGGCCCCCAAAGATCAGGAAGCAGTGTGAAAAATTTAATCCAAATTATGAATGTTGAAAAACTAAAAAATGACTCACAAAAACCAGTCTAACTTTGTTGAAATATACATGTACCAGTATATAGGGCACAATTTAACTTTGTTGAAATATATATAGATAGTGCATAATTGTACACATATTTAAAAGAACATTTGGATTATTATGGAACTTAAAATATTCATATTTGGACTTATAGTAAGTATAATTATTTCCTGATCCCCGACGGCCTTAGAAGCGAGCCAGTTACAATTACACAGTAGACTTCCGTTAGTATGTAATGATACAGTACTATAGTGAATACAATGTAATTGAATTGTAAAAGTGGAAATTCTCATGTCTGGAAATGTTCATATCGTGAGTCTTTACTAGTAAACTGATTGCAATGTGGACATTTTTTGTGTTGGCAAAGGTTCCTCATATATATATATATAGTCTATATATCGAATCTAATGTATCTGTAATGTATATTTTCATATACTCGTGTGTATATATTTTCGCAAGGCAAAAAATACAAGCATTTCCACATGATGATAATTTCCATTTTGACAGTAAGTTATTATATACAATATGAAGGAGGCTATATTATAAGTTTTCGCTAATACAGGTATAATATTAGACCTATAACATAAGTACATGTATGTAATACATCAGAACAAACATAAAACATCATGCTTTTCAGTACTACTAAATACAAGTACATCATATTAAAGTGAACTAATTGTTAGAATGCTGGGAAGAATAATAAACTAGAAGGAAAATAACATTAATTACATGTTAGACAGTGAATTTGACCTGCCCAATAGAAACACCACCAATACTTTGGAATAGACAGGTTTTTTAGATAACACATGGGCAATTTCAAACTGGCCTCCATTGAAACTATGAATCTTTCCCTTTAAAACAAAATATGGCCAGATAACATTGTATGGACTATAGTACACTGTTTACCCAATATAAATATCTAAGGCAAGATACAAAATAGGTTACTACTGATGTTCACAAATGTGTCCCTATCTATAATATGTAATACATAATGGTCACTTTCCAGTATCAAAAAGCTTTTATAAACACAACGCATGAAAGAAAATTAGAGAGATAGGTAATATTGCAAAAAAAGAATTCAAAATTTAATTTGGCAAAATTAATATCAGTATAAACCACTCTGTCACTTTTCATACTATTTTTGCAGCACATTAAATTAAGGGAAAAGCTAAAATGTAAACATTTGAATGTAATTTGTTTAATGTAAAAGTCGGGGGAAGGTAAAAACTGAGAACCCTTGAAAACAAAGAACATTGTATATACCTGGGTACCAATGGAAAAAGATCAAGGGTCATGAGAGTCTAACCTTGTATGTCATACCTACAGACTGATGGAAAAGACGAACACCGCTTCAATGATGTTTGACTCAATGAATTTTGTCAATGTAGCTTGTGTCAATGCTACATTTACTCGAAGGTATGTGTATACAAAATACCTACTATTTCTGCGATAGTTAGCCTATTCAGTAACATAATGCATCAGTGACTTGTGACCTTTGACCTCATGACCTTGGAGGTTTGTAACAATATAGCCTGCATAATTGGCTACAATACTGTAAAATATATGTGTATACAAAATACCTACTGATTCCGAAATAATTAGCCATTTTAGTAACGTAATTCATTCGTAACCTTTGACCTCTGACCCAACGACCTCAGAAGCTGTCTGTTAAAACAAACATTATATATGTTAAACATTATTGCTTCTAGTATTACCATACCAAATTTGGAAGGAATTGAATAAAATTTGAAAAAGTTCTTGCATTTTCAATGTCATGGTCTAAAGAAGGTTTATGAACTAAGGGTCATAACTTTGTCGAAAGGGGAGATAACCCAATGAAAAGTAATGTACACACATCTCCAAGCTGCAAGGTTTGTAACCAGCAAATTTCATTGAAATCCATCCAGTAGTTTAGGAGAAGTACACGGTACTACATGTACATTGCGTCAAGACGGATGGACGGCAGACAACCCGATACCAGTATTTCCCCCCTAACTTCGTTGGTATAAAAACCAATGCATGACTGCATGGTCAATTTGCAGCCCCTGCAGGATGGGATTAATTGAAGCATATCAAAACACACTGAAAATTTCATAACATCATATTGTTTGTATCCTTCATTGTTTAGTGCATTACAACAAGAATGATTTAATAACACTGAAAATCAGCTGGAACTATATCTTATGATTGTATTATAAAAATAAATGCAAGCATTCTTTGAGAGGAGAGCACATTCCAGGAATAGAATCTGATAGATTGATACAGGCTAAAGTTCAGTCCAAAAGATAGCTGATGTACTTTTCTACAGGATTACATGCTGACAACGATTTGCTATAGGTAGGAATAGCATTGCTCATTCATTGTTGTATAAATGTGATTTACCTCTTTCGAATGACAATTCTTTCTAAACCAATAAACATATTGAAACTAAAAAGGAAAACAAAAATATATGAAACATTTGAAATAAAACATAATTGTGGTACACAATAGTTGATGATGATCTTATGAAAAGACTTAAGTATACATATTAATAGTAAGCTGAACTCGCTGCTAAACTAAATAAAGCAAATATCACACTGCACACTGTTAATATAATTATAAAATCTTTACAGAAACGATGTGATAAAAACATCTCATCATATGTCATGTTCTGAGATATTCAGACATAAGAATCAATGAAGATTGTTTTATTATATTAAGAAAACATAGTCAATAAAGAAAAACAATACAGACACTGTTAGTCAAATCCTGGATGTGTTTTAAGTACTGCACTGTTCATCAGAGCCGATATCATGTGTTACTGAAAGTTCTGTAGACCACTCGAGATTAATTGGCAAATGCAAAAAAAACAGGAATCACCCAAAACAGTGCATCCTGTCTTGGGCAATCAGTTCATCCTTTCCAATAAAGTGCAATCAAATGCACTGCACTGCATCTGGGGTCTGTCATCATTATCCCAGTCAGAGGAGGGATAGTCTAAAGAATGACCTGGTTCTATGTATATTTTTCGATAACGTAAATATCCCCATTAGAAGCAATTTTATTATATTGAGGTCAAATCTGAATTTAAGCTTTTGAAGAATGTTTCAGAAACCACAGCTTGTCCCTATTTATAAATCAATTGACCATAAATAATATCACTCTCTTTTCACTGTTCATACAAGGGAGTTAATGTGTATTTTGTGCATTGTAGACTGGTAACTAAACAAATGCATGAATATATATGTTATATGTTGATTATAAATGACCTCAATTGATATCATACCTCCCTCCTTAGAATGGAGACTCCCTCATTTTGATATGGATACAGAGGCTTAAAGCATGTGTCCATTACAATTCCTAATGAATAAATCCTAATAGCTGTCAAACCTCCCTCATTAGAATGGAGACTCCCTCATTTTGATATGGATACAGAGGCTTAAAGCATGTGTCCATTACAATTCCTAATGAATAAATCCTAATAGCTGTCAAACCTCCCTCATTAG